AAAACGACGAAAGCGACGCAGCGAGTATCTGCGATGTTGCTGCCACATGGAGTTTCTCTAATCCGAGATGTCGGAGGTTTTCTTCGTACCTTATTCCTGGTTGGTCCGCTGTGTTTCAGGCGCTCGGAAGTGGGTTTTGTCAATTATACCATATGAATTATTTGCGAGGGAAATCAACTCGCTGACCCGGTGCCGGGTTTTTTTCGCCCGGTGGCGTTTCCGGTTGGACCAGCGGTTATATCCCCTATTTGGTCGGTGGGGTGTCGGGTGGTATTTACCACACTTTCACAATAACAGTTTGACATCCGGGTTCATTCAACTTGAGGGGGTTGAGGAAGGTGCATGAGTTTGTGCAAGCTCGCTTCCACAGGGTGGGCCCGGGATAAAGCTCGCCCGGCGGTGAGGAGTATATTAAAACTGTAGCGTTTTGTGCGAAGGGATTGATGTTTGTAGTTTAGGGCACTGGGTTTTCATGGGATCACGTCACCAGATGCTGGGGTTGTGAACCCGTGCACTGTGTTCCAATGCTGATGGTCTTGGTTTTGTCATTATTGGGAGCGATATGTGTGCTTTATTGCTAACCCGTGGCCACCGGGGTTATTGTTACGCGCACTGTGCCAACTGATAGGGGGGAATATGAGCTACTGAACAGGCGTAAACTGTACTACGTAGGCAAACCCTAGGTTGGAACTTATCACTCAGGTGCCAGGGTGGTGAATCTGTCAAGTTAATCCTCTGGGTTGCGTCAACCAGCTTTTTCGCACGAACTGTGGTATCAGGGATTTCCCAGTGGGGCTGGTGTTAGATATTTGCGATAAGAATCACAGGTGTCGAGCATTAGCTGGGTTAAGTTGGTGTTTCAACGAGGATTTATCCAGGGTTTACAACGGTAATTGTATGAGAGGTTTTTCACGTGCGGGGGTTTCCACGTGGGTTTCAAGTGCCCGGGGGGCTGGGTTTTGTGGTGTAATTTTTTTGTTAATCCACTAATAAGTCACCACCTGGTGGCGGTTATTGGCCCGTGCCGTGGTTTTTTTCCATATGTTTATGCAACTAACCATGGTGGTAAGTTTGGCAACATCCTACATCGTGGTCGGAGATTGAATATTTTGGACATTTACTCATTCTAGTAAGGCCGCGCTCAAAAGCCTCGCGGTAGCGCGACTGAAACGGATACTTCCGAAGGGGGTTTGTACTGGGGAGAGAGTGTTTTTTATCATTGTTCAACAGCTGTTGCGTGAACTTTATTCCTTTACAAAACAGTTTACGGAGTGCAAGTGATTCTATTTATCTATTTATTCTTATTTTACCCTCTGATTCGTCGTAGTCGTATTTTCTTTATCCTATCTATGCCTACTTGCGGGTTGATTTTTATTAATTCACTCACAACGTTGTGGGCCGGTTTTCCGTATGCTGAGGTTTATTATTATACTATACGTTTTGAGCCGGTACCCAAGTGCGCGGTTATTTTCACCGCCCGACGGTTTTTTTTTCACACGGATTGTGTGGGACGACAGGAGGAGGGTAGATGAGAGAGAAGAACGGATGTCGGGCAACCACACGACAAAGTAAGGCTTTATCTCAGGGTTGCGCGCTGTTACCTCTCGGTTTTATGTTACCTGTGAGACCTTCCGGTATCCGCCGTGTTGTTTTTGTAGCTTCACATACACTGGCTCTGTATCCCCGAAAGTTTTTTTTTGTAGGAAGGAGATAGATTTATCCTACCTCCGTGGGATTTGTTGGGTTTTTTTTTTCCAGAAGGTTGCTACAATACCACTCGGTTTTTCAAGCTTATTGTGGTTGAAGGTGTATTCTCAAACGGTTTAATGAGCCGCATTGGTTTCATATACTTTTATAATATTTATATAGCTCTACTTTCTCTAATTCTCATTTCAGGCGGAAATCGGTTGTCCTTTTCTTCTTCATTAGAAACGGAGATAATGGGACGGAGAGAGAATCAGTTGTATAAATTTTGTCATTAGCCGGTGTACCTTACCGCGTTGCCGGGTTGTGTTCCCCCTGATGCGGGTTTTTTTTTCACCCAGTGGCCTTATCTTCCCCGTTGCGCTGTTCTTTTTCTTTTTCTATCCAGCGCATTGTAGTTTTCTTAACATCGTTAGGGAGCACAGAGGTGTTATAGACTATGAGGAAGTGCGCGCGTTTTAGAGACGCTGAAAAGGTTTATGCGCCTCAAGAAAGATGGAGGTGTGGTTGCAATACTGGGTTTTTAACACGTGGTTCTCTCTTAAAACAATGGTTGGAGTTCTATCAGAGATTATTTGAAGTGGGGCCTTTTTTTCCAGGGAGGTAGGTAGCGTTTTTATTAGAGTCGCGGTGATAAAAAAGGGGGTTAATTACTAGATTGATATAGAGAGACTAATGATACGAATATGTGTGGGGTGAGGTGCCGTTTCAGATAAGTGGGAGGTTGTTTTTAACCAATGTGAGAGTGATAGTTAGATACTAAGGAGTTGTGAGGTTCTTAAGAGAGTTTTGAGGGTGAGATGGATATATTGTTAACTATGTTGGGTAGGGTTAATATGAGTTTGCGCGTGTTTGGGAACAGTTGGAAAAACGGTTTGTCTTAGATTCTTAGAGACTATGTGGGGGGAATGGCGATTAATGGAAAGTTGGGTAAAGGTTTAAAAGATTGCAGGAGTTTTTTTAGAAATAATAAAGGTGATGAGTGGTTTTATAATGTTGTGATGGTTGGGGATCAAGGTCAGACTAGTGGGGGGGTTTAAACCGGTAATTAGAAATATAGAATTTAAGTATTAGGGAGTATTGGTTTTTTATATAGAATAAGTGGGGAAGGGGTTTTTTTTTTAACTAAATAATAGTGTCTCGGGTGCAGTTTTCTAAAAAGGGTGCATTAAATGTGTTAGGATTTTCATGTTAAAGAGGATCGAACACAAAGGTTTTTTCAGTATAATGGCTCCTCTTTTCAAAAGTGACAGGCGTGTCCTTTTTGCTTCAGCGAGATAGCTTTTTCGCCAAGAGAAGGGTGGGCTTGAATTGGCAGTAGGTTGGAAAGTTGTGTCGGGCGCACAATTGTGGCGATTTCTTTGTTATGCTCTCTCATTACAGTTGGCTATATGCGTGATTTGTAAGAAAAGAAGCAAACCTTTTTGTGGTGCTCATATGTTATTATTAATAGTTTGTGCATTAAAAATGGTTTTACGAGTTGTGGCGAAGTCAGAAGTTCTTCTTTTATAAAATAGAGGGGTGTGGAACATGGTGGTATTTTTTTACAAATATAACAAATACATGTGGTAGAAGATATACAGGACGGGTTTGTTAAAAGTGGAGGGTTCCACTTTTGATGTTTGTTTTCCTAATATAGTGGCGTGTAGGACTAGGAGAGTGATCTTTCACTTAAAGTTGGGTTGGGTGGTGTGAACGGCGTTTTGATGTTAGAGATTATATTAGAAGTGGGAGAATGTGCTCTCAGAAATGGCTCTGATGAAGGTGCTTGCACTGACAGCTGGGGGCGGAATTCATTCTCAAAAACAGAAGTTGGGAAAATTATCGTTTTAAAGAGTTGAGGGTTTTCTCTCTCACACAAGGGTTTTGGAGGGAGTCTGTTGTGACGTTTTTTTTTTATATATTAAAAGTGTGGAAGGGTTTAGTGCGCGCAGGGTTTTTGCTAGATATGATGAATGGCGGGTTTTTGTTCATCAGACAAAAATAGATTTTTTGTGTGAGGCGGGCAGATAGAGGCGCGCGAGAAACTGCGAGTTATCCGACCCTCGAATCGCTGGCCATGCATCGTTGTGATCAAAGGGTGAATCGTTAACGTTTCTTCGAATTGAATTGAATGTGATTGATGGCTTATTTTACGGTATCGAGACTCAGGGCCGCATCAGGCCCGGCTCTTCCGTTCTCACCTCACAAATTTCGCTTACGCTCGCTTTTACAACTAACAGGGAAGGAGGTATTTCTTGGGCAGAAACAGGGGCGATTTTTGAATTTAGCGTCAGAGGGCGTCATTTATGGCTGATGATCTTTAACATGCAACTAATCTAAACGAACAATGGGAGCAGCCGGCCTTATTCCGCCTCCGAACGGAAGGGCGTACGAAGGATTTTTTGCGCCATTGAAAAAATCCCACGGCTTTTCCGATCGGGTTTGAACCCGCCATACGTTGGGTAGCAACCAGTCCGATATATAATCTATATATATATAGTATATATAATATATATATATATATATATATAATAAATGATAACTACGAGCGTTGTTGACAAAATCTGATAACCAGTTCGCTCACGTGCAATAGAAACTATTTTGCATCGAAAAGCGAACTACAAATTGTATTCAAAATTCCTTTCGTCAAAATAACCAAAACTTCACACTCCTCTCGTAACTAGCGAAGCGAGGGCTCAAGAAAATGTGCGCAGATAGTATTGGTAGTTTCATTTGCAAGTTGCAAACCATTCTTTGAAAACCGAAAAACGGGACATTTTAGAAGCAAAGGTGAGGATTATTGAATTTCTCGGTAGCGATATCGATAAAGCATATATA